CCCCACACACACACACACACACACACACACACACACACACACACAGCATGCTTCAACAGTGGTTGCCAAAACATGTTTTGTTGTGTCCGGAAGATGTGTCAACTGCCTCACCTCCTGACACCTGGTCCCTGACCCCTGACCCCTGGTCCCTGACCCCTGACCCTGACCCTGAAGACTCATCTTGACCCATAGATGTGTCATGACTCATATGGCCCCAGACCCATAGATGTGTCATTTGACTCCAGACCCATAGATGTGTCATATGACCTCTCACCCATAGATGTGTCATATGACTCCAGACCCTTAGATGTGTCATATGATCCCTGAACCATAGATGTGTCATATGACCCCTGAACCATAGATGTGTCATATGAGCCCTGATCCATAGATGTGTCATTTGACCCCTGAACCATAGATGTGTCATATGACCCCTGAACCATAGATGTGTCATATGACCCCTGATCCATAGATGTGTCATATGACCCCTGACCGATAGATGTGTCATTTGACCCCAGACCTATAGATGTGTCATATGACCTCCTGACCCATAGATGCGTCATATGACCCCTGACCCTTAGTAGATGTGCCATATGACCCCAGACCTATAGATACGTCATATGGCTCCAGACCTATAGATGTGTCATATGACCCTTGACCCATAGATGTGTCATATGACCCCTGACCCATAGATGTGTCATCTGATCCTTGATCTCTCTGTCTCATCTGACGAAGTTCTTTATTCCTTGTGTATTATACATACTATTGACTTTCCGAAGTTTTGTGTTTGTGTATCGGCATTAGTACCCTGTTGTTCTGACTTTCTTTGAAATGCGACGAGAGACGATTAAGCTTGCCACATTATTCAGAAGTGATGTTTATTCGAGCGAATGATTGTACATAATACACAAATAAATAAATAAATGCAGAGTATAAATGAATAATGAGTATATATCATTGCATCAACAAGACGATGTACCAATCTCAAAATTAAACAGCATTTATTATATTGTCACTTCATTGTCACCTGCGTAAACATCATTTCCTTGCTCATAGTTCAAATCATCTTACAAGAGTTTATCATGTGTCTTTACAGCATACTCCTTTGCAAAATGTATTTAAGATTAATCTTTCATATTTTTATGTACGTCAATAGCCTATACATGGACATATTTGATTTTTTGTAATGGTGTAATTGTGGATCAATTTATCTTTTTTATTTATGATAATAATATACATAAAATTATAAGTGCGAAGTGGCCTGCCTTTCCCAAACATTCCATACATTCCATACATGTCGTTTCTGATATTCGTGCATATGTATGTTTTTCTTTTATGGGTTTTTTGTCTTTGTTTTGATTTGATTTTTGTTTTGATATTTGTTTTGTTTGGCCCGGAAGGGGGGGGGGGGGTGGGCGGGCTGCTCTTTTGTATTTAAAAAAAACACTTTTTGTTGGGAGGGGTAGGGGGGGGGATACTGTTCCGTGATGGCTGCATACCAAGTGTACACGGTTTGAAGGGCGTCGATAGGACGTGGAAACCGTTCACAATATTTGACAACCAACTATTTTACAATATATATAAGTAACGTTATTATTTAGCCTATCGTTTACATTAT